AACAAAATCTCAAAAACTCTTCTTTTTCTTTAATTCACTTGTTATTTATCTTTCTATTATGCTCTTATTTTGCTTATCTTTCTTGTTATTTTGTTATCTCTATGTGGATACGACCGCCCTTCTGTGCTACAATTGACCGCTTGTGAACATCACTTTTAGGCGTTAATCTGCCGGACATGGTTGCACTTCTCCCAACCTTTCATGGGTTAGAGAATGAGAACCCATATGTACACATCCGGGAGTTTGAAGAGGTGGTGGCCACCTTTCACAACCGTGCTGAGGTCGCAAACACAGTCAGATTGAAGTTTTTTCCTTTCTCTCTGAAGGACAAGGCCAAAAACTGGCTGCATTCTCTTAGGCCCAAGTCTATTGGTACGTGGGAAGAAATGACGATGACATTCTTTAACAAGTATTTCCCACACCATAAGACCAACAATTTGAAACGACGGATCTCGAATTTCGCTCAAAAGGAAAATGAAACTCTCTATCAAGTTTGATAACGTTTTAAAGATCTGTTAAATCTGTGTCCCCACCATGGGTATGAAAGTTGGTGCCTCGTAAGCTATTTCTACTATGGACTCACAATCCGAGAGCGCCAATTTGTTGAGATGATGTGCAATGGGGATTTTTTTCAAAAGGATCCTGACGAAGCTATCAAGTACCTGAATGAGTTATCTAAGAAAGCTCATACTTGGACTGGACCGAGTGCTACTGAGAGCACCAGTACGTCCCGACTAGATGGAGTTTATCAATTAAGGGAATAGGACAACCTCAAGGCCCAAGTTGAAGCTTTGACGAAGCAAATCGAGGCCCTCAAAAGTAAAGATAGTAAAGGACCGCACATGGTGGCAAGGACAGAGACACATGAGCCCTGTTTCGTTTGTGGTGGAATGGGCCATCAGGCTCAAGATTGTCTCACTTTTGGTGAAATGAGAGGGGTATACGAGGAGCAGTGCAATGTATTGGGCACATACAATAAGCCTTATGGACCTTTCTCAAACACTTATAATGATAGCTGGAAACACCACCCAAACTTCAGTTGGAGAGATCCAAACCAACATGCACAATCATCTGGAGGGCAATGGAAATCAGAGCAATAATCTCAACCACCAAGGACATATTTTGCACCTCAGAATAACATGCAGCCGAAAGGAAATTCTCTAAAAGCTTTTATGGATGCACAAAATAAGACAAATCAAAGAGTTGATTCAATGCTCACGCAGCTGGTGGAAGAGAACAAGGAAATAAAAAGTCAGATCACAAAGCTCACAGAAGCTTTAACCGTTCAAGAGCGCGGTAAATTTCCATCACAAGCCCAGTCCAATTTGAGAGGACAACACATGGCTCAAACTTCTAACTCTGAAGGTCAAAATATCAAGGAAGTTAATGCCATCTCTACTCGAAGTTGTAAGAATTTTGACACGCCATCAACAAGTACAACCACTTCGAGTAATGAAGAATCGACTCAATAGAAAGAAGAGCCAACAAAAATTCCGGTAAAGGTGCCTTTCCCCCAAGCTCTCCGACCTCTTGGGAAAGTGCCAGAATGTTAAAGTGAGATCCTAAAGCACTTGACACAATTGAAGATCAATCTTCCGTTACTACATGTGATCAAGCAAGTGCCGGCCTACACCAAGGTTATCAAGGATCTGTGCACCATAAAGAGGAAGCACCATGTCAAGAAAACTGCATTCTTGACGGAACAAGTAAGTGCGGTGATTGAGCAGAAGACACCGCCGAAGTATAAGGATCCAGGTTGTCCCACAATTTCTTGCCAGATTGGGACACAAGAATTTGGCCAAGCGTTACTAGACCTATGATCGAGCGTTAACCTCATGCCTTATTTGGTCTACTTGCAATTGGGTCTTGGAGAGATTAAGCCCACAGATGTGGTTCTGCAACTGGCCGATAGATCCATTAAGAGCCCACGGGGAATAGTGGAAGACATTTTATTGCAAGTCGACAAGTTTTTTACCCCGTGGACTTTCTTGTCTTGCATACACAATCCGTGGTGAATATGGAGTCATCCATTCCCATCATTCTAGGAAGACCTTTCCTTGCCACAGCAAACGCACTTATCAATTGTAGGAATGGTTTCATGAAGATATCTTTCGGGAATATGACCCTTGAGTGAATATTTTTCATATTCAAAAGCAACCACGTGATGACGATGAGTGTCAATAAATATTCCTGATTGACACACTTTTCGAGGAGGAGGTTCAACTACAAAGCAACTATGAAGATCTTAAAAACCTCCTCCAAAATTGTGATTCTGAAAATTCTGGTTCTGTTGAGTTGGCTCACTTGTCTGCAATTTTCAGCAACTTACAGGACAGAGGAACCAAGTTTGGGCAACCATGTTTTGAGGAGCTCCCAACAGAAGGAGAAAAACTGAAATCATCCACCGAGGAGGCTCCAAAAGTCAAGCTATCCCAACTACTTGAGGGCCTAAAACATGCGTTCTTGAGAGATTAAGTCGTCTAAACTTGATGCATTGCAAGAACAACGATTGATCGACATGCTGAAATAGCGTAATTCCAGGATCAAGGTAAAAATAAAAGCGGCTCATGGCAAGTAGATCCTGGGAAAGAATTTTAAGCCGAATCAACGGGTTCATCTCTATGATTCCCATTTGCTTCTCCACCCCGGTAAGTTGAGGTTTCGGTGGACTGGCCCGTTCGTAGTGAAACGCGTTTTTTCCAATGGTGCTGTCGAGGTTAAGGGCCCGACCAATAGAAGATTCTTTAAAGTTAATGGCCAACATTCGAAGAATTACTTAGAGCGGGTGAACCAGGTTGAAGAGATCATTCTCGACGACCCCGTTTACCACCCCTGAGTAGTTTGCTCACATCTTCTGTACCATATTTTAATTTTCTATTTTTCTTTGCTTCTTTTTACATTTTTTATGTGTGTTTTTGGACAATCATATTAGGAAGCTCATGCTGTGCTCATAAGTGGAAAGCTCATCGTCCAGGTGTCTTCTTTCTCTATATTTCCATAATTTTTGATACTGAGGACGCTGTCTGATTTTGGTTGGGGGTGGTGAGCATATTCATGCGTAAGAGTGATTTTTGTCATGTTGACATTTACGTTAAAATTTTTGCAAAGTTGTCTGAGTATGATTCAAAATGATTGGTTTGGGTTGATTTTTGCTGTCTTGGTTACTAAGATATGACTTCCAGAGTTTCTTTTTGCACGTGCTAAACCTTGTGGTAAGATGGATGTTAATGCATGTCAGCTGAGAAAAGTCCTGAGTTTAAGTGCTTAATTTTTGGTGAGTTAAAAGAGTTGAGAAAATGACTTTTGAACCTTCATTGATCTTTTGAGCTCGTAAAATAACTGTTAGAACATCATTACATGGTTAGTGGTATGCTTGGTGCATATGCTCTAGGGATGGATTTTGGGTCAGATTGGAATGATCTTATGTAATAGAGCTTCATTTCTGATTGTTCAAAAAAAAAAAAAAAAAACTGAGCAAGAGCAACATTTCACAGATTTTGTAGTTTGGTCGTGATCACATTCGATGCTATATAGCTGTTTGTCAAAAGAACACCTTTCTACATTCATTTCATTATTGCAGGTTGTCTCTTGCCAAAAAAAAAAAA